TTCTCAGCTGAAACTCTGAGAGGGAGAGGGGGAGTAGGAGAGGAGTGTTAAACTTAGGCAAAAGATGAGGAACTTCTGATCCTGGCATAATACACTTCCTATATCCTCGCTGAACTAGTCCTTACCTGGGGAAGGAGGACCAAAAAGGGTAACTCAGAGAAGAACTTAGCTCCAAACGTAGATAAACAATCCAAATCAACAGTGTTCAGTGGTTGGGGCAGTCTGGGGGTTAAATCTCTAATACTTAAAGTTCTGGCTAAGTATAAAGAGGCCATAAGATCTAATCTAAAACTTTTAAGCGCCACCAGTAGCATCATGATAAGGGATTAGACAGCACAGCTGCGTACCACGCGCTGCAGCGTGTGTGTTACCTTGACTGGATGAAGACTGCAGCTTCCAGGTATCAGTGAGGCTCGACTGTGTGCTTTAAGTGATTCTTTATCACAGCAGATACTTTGAGCTACATATTTGTCCAGAAATATGTCCAGCAAGTGGAAATTATTTTTATTAATGTTTTATTAATGGTAGATATTGCAATTAGACATGCACAAGAAATTACTGTATAAAAGGTTTCATATTATCCAGATATGAATTCTGAGTCGCTTCCAAAAAGTGAAAGCAGCACTAAGTCTCCATGGCCACTGGCCTCTGAGCATGCGCCGTAAGCATTTTAAGTTTCATCAATGCGTGTAGTTGCTGGACATGGTACAAACCTTCGCAGGGTTATCATATATGGCTTCTTGTGCAGTTGGGGGAATCCTAACTTGTTTACTAGCAAGTTCTTAACATGAAAATCTCGTTGATAGCTTAACTCTTTTTTCTGTGTTGGGTAAAACTATGGATGCTGGTAGCAAGGTTTATGCTACAGGCTTAGCAACTATACTGCTTAGTCTTGAAAGTACAGTGGCACATGGTGCAGCATGTGGTTATGGGCAAAAGGAACTTAATGAACTGTATTAAAATATTTTACAAGAGTTTCTCTAAAACGCTGAAATGCTCCGTTAAAAAGCTGAAGAAAGTTGTTTTGTGGTTTCAAAGTGCCCTTTGGGTTGACCTCCTGCCAGGAACACCACACCTGAGTGCAGGGACTCCAGTTTTACAAACTGTTTTCTGAACAGGTAGTGATGTTTTGAGGCACTAGCAGAAAGAGGAGAGAAGATTATCACCATCAGCCTGATTCTCAGGAATCAGCTGCTGGGCAGGGGAAGTCCCGTCCTACCTGTGAAGCATCATGTGTCTGCCAATGGGATTGTCTCTGTAAGTATTTGCCTCTGATCAGGTTACCGGATTGTAGCCCCTATTCCCCTCAATATGAAAAAACAGACAAACAAGGCTTAACATGTCTTAGCCATGATTATGTTTTTTAAAGGCTATTTACAAAAAATGTTTAACTTTGGCTGACCTTAGCACAAGGTCATGGGGTGAGGCTGTAGGAACAGTTGCTTTCTGTGTAGCACAGGCTTTATTTTGGCTGGCTCTCTATTAACTCTGATACGTGGGCAAGCTCATGCCAAGCAAAATCAGGCATATCGTGAGATTCTGCTTTGCCTGTATAGAGGGAGTAGCCTGAGAAACAGCTTTGCAGGCTAGAAAACAGAGCCTAGCGTTTGGGGATGGCCAGATCTGACACTTGGTGAGTTTGACAGGACACAAAAGGTGTTTAAAAAGTGAGATTTCTATTAGCAAGTTCTTGTGAAGCAAGTCTGGAGGTTATGCCAGCATGTGCACGTGCTGTATAGCACGTGTTCTTGGAACTGAACAAGTCACCTTGCATTTTAAATAGCATTTCCCCATCCAAAGTGGCCCTTGTTTCTCATGAATACCTGCTAGTGACTGCATTTTCAGCTTTCATGAGCAACAGCAGAATGACACTGATCATTGGTGGCACTCCTGCCCAAAGGGTGCAGAACAGCCATAGCACAAGGGTCTTGTTAGCTGGTTTCTTTCTTTTTTTTAATCTTCTTTTTCCTTTTCTGAGCAGCAGCAGTCACTGGAGTTAGCTGGTATTTGTTTGCAGAGTCCAGGAAACAGAAGGGTGTCAGTCTGTTTGGAAGAAAGTGATGGTTTTTCCGTAGACCTTTAAATTCTTAAATGTTTTACTAGCCTCTGTCACATATTGGGAATTGGATTCAAAGGCTGTTTGGTAAGACAAGCTTTGCCTAATAATTGTAGTAGATGTTACTGATAAAAACATTTTACGCACGCCAAGCACAGCGGTATTGGAGTTGCTTCTGCAAGCTTCTGTAGTGAATTTAGCTTTCCTTTGAGCTCCCTGAGAACAGTAAGCATCTTATGTTGAATTTATATGAAACGCTGTTTTGACAGGTTTCTTCAGATGCAAAGAAGCACCGCGGGAGACGTTCTGTTCCTTCAGAATAACTGGACCCACTGGCAAGAAGCAGCTACACTGAGCACCAAACGAGGAAACCGTTTCCAAGTTATCAAAACATGCTGTTGAACTAAATTTTGCAGCTGCGTTTTTAAATGTACCATGGGATGTATCAAATCCAAGGATGCCTTTTCCGGTTCAAGTGCTATCCAGGATGAGAGGATCGGGGAAGGTAACGAAGGATGCACCGGGGAGAAATCATCACTGATAGCACTGGACGAGAAAGGTCCATCCAGCTCCTTAGTGCTGGACTATGCCCACCAGCTCTCCCGGGAGATTCTTGATCAGGCCATGAAACAGTGGGCAGTGACTGAAAGCAAATACAGCGACATCCCTTTTATTGAAAGCGATGTGCCTGAGCCCTGACTGGCGAGGACCGTACTCACAGTGAGTGTCCCATCTGTTAAGCAGTCGGCGTTTGGTACTAGTGCAAATAAAGTAAAATCAGCAATGATTTGAGCGTAATGCCACTATATGAATGTGTCTGGAAGGGAGGCTGAAATAAAATGCCTTTTAATCTACATTACTAAGAAATTAATTGGATTCCAGTAGAATGTATAACCGTGTCATTTGTTATCAGCCGTATGTTGAGTATATTCTGTCTTTGTATGTGCTGAGTGTGATCAGAATTTAGTGTTAAAGAAGAGGATGAGAAGAAAACGGCTGCCCTGCAAGCGTACAAGCACTGCCACATTTTTGCAGGGTGCTTAAGGGTAAAGCATGGATTATTTTTATGTACTGAAAAAAAATATGATCATCGTAAACCTACCTGGGTGTATGTGAAAAGGAGAACTGTGCGCTTGGTAAATTTGTCTGTGTTCTGCTCAAGTGAAACAAGGGTCTGTGTGTAGCCAGGATAACTGCTGTCGTTAATCGTACTTTGATTCGAGACCTGACTAAATCTGTAAACTGCAAAATAATGAAAACCAAGAAGTGTTCAGGGAACTATATGGACTATGTTACTATTGAACTTCCGCTCCTAAGCCAACCAATGAGGAGCGTTACAATATTGATAAAGAGTGCGTTATTACAGTTAACAGATGCTCTGGCTTCTGAAAACGCCCAAAGGCATCTCAGACCCTGCAGTACGAGTGTTTAATTCCATCTGATCACTGTCTTCAGACCAAAGCTGGTGGGGGTTTTTGGCGGGGAGGGAGGGTTTTTTGTTTGTTTTTGTTTTTGCTTTTACTGTAACCCAGAGACATGGGTAAAAGCTGCCTATACTGACCAGTGCAAGGAGCCTTTGAGGGGGCACCAATGTTTTAGGACCGTTTCCTTCACGGCAGCATTACACTGCAGTGGCGCTCTGCCGTGGGAGCCCGGGACCGTGACAGGCCTCACCGCTTCCCTGTTAGTAAAACTGGGTAGGAGGAGGCAAGTATGAGCTGCAGAAACCCAGCGCCTAAGCAGTGCGCGACTTCCTGAGTAAGCCTTAGGCCCAGAGCTACAGGGCTCACTTCTTTAGGGATTTTACCTTGTTTAGACGCGCTGCGCCCTGCTTCGTCAGGATACGCAGCCTGACGGGACTCTACGCAGAACTGGGATTCGATATATTGAGGAAGAGATGAGAGGAATCAATCGTACGTCACCTTAAAAGCCATCGTTTTGCTGACGTGTTATACAAAGTGAAAGCCTTGGAGAAGCTTGGTTTTTTAGCTCCCGTTTGTTTCCCTTGCTGTGAAGGCTGGTTAGAGAGGCACGTAATTCTTTTCTAGGTCCGAGGGCTTTCCGTTTTATGTTTTCATTTTATAAAAAAAAAAGCTTTCCATACTAGAGAAAACTGTTACTATTTTTAAAAGGTATTCATGGTCCTAGTAACTGATACAAAGCATGATTTTTCAAGCAATGGTAAACAAGCAGAAAGACGACCATCTGAACTGTTATTTTTAGCTTATTCTCAGACATAAGTGAGTCTATGAAGTGAGAGGGAACGTGGCTGTTCTGCACACTGCGTGACTCAAGCTTTATCTGAAATTCATCTATTCAGGGAATTGGACGGATCAAGAGTAAATGGTGGAAAATGCTTCTTTGTAACATAGCACAGGACTGCCTTCAGTTCACGCTGCTGCGACTAGGCCCTGCTACTGATACTATGTGCCCAACATTTTGCTGAAAAAGGGAAACAAATTCTGCCCCTGTTGCAATGTTGTCGTCTTTGAAACGGGACCCAACGTGGGCCCGAGGTATTTTGGGCCGCTTCACTCCTGCTGCTAGCAGCGATGGCCCTTGAAGCTCTAAAACACACACAATGTTAAACTGCGCCTTGCGTTTGCCATGTCTTAACAAAACTGGAAAAATCTCCCTGCCGTACACAAGGGTGAATTAAAAGCAAAACCAAAACACTGATCGCCTCAGTCCGTATTAATTTGACACTGCCTAACCAGCGTGTTTAAAAGCAGACGCTCTT